ATGAAAACTTTTGTCTGAATCTTTCGCTTTTTAACACTGATGGGTCGATGGACGATGCTTAATTTTAAATAATTAAATGAATAATGAATTCAATACAAATACAAAATCAGTTGACTGCACAAATTTTTTGACAATGTAACCAAAACTTTTAGTATTACTAGTATTAGATTATACCGACTTAAATTATAAGGTTGCATCTCGGATCGCATAAAAACATTTCCAATGTTTTTAATAAATAACACTGGGTCGACCTTCATTTTCGTTGAATAAATGAACTTTAATTTACAAAAAAAAAACGCGAAGATAGAACATTTTCGTTAAGAGTTTTACAAATGTCGTCAGGAAGCTGTAGTTTAAGTTTTATAGATTATAGACGCCACACTCTGTATAGATGTAGCACTGTACATCTCACCTAACATGACTCAATATTCGTGTAACTGCAAAAAGTATTCATGATATAAAATTTATTAGTATTTTGGATAAATATTTTTATTCTCATTTTATATTAATGAATACCAGTTACTTGAACACTGCGCCACTCTAGATATTAGCAATGTTTGTATCGAAAATAACTCACGGTGCAAATTTAAAGTGCAATGTGGGTTTCGTGGTACGTAAGCTGTAAAAATAATTTAGATACGATTCCTTTGAAAGTGGCAATTTAGAAACACAATTCCATCGGGAGTGTGCTTGCGAACGAAATCGCAATTAAATCATAAATATCGAAATCTAATAACATCCGCGCCGGTTTTATTAAACTTTACCGTGAAAGTAATTCCATTTCGGAATTTATTATTATTATTTGGATTGCCCGGCACCCTTTATCATACCGTGGCACGCGAGGAGACTCTTCAATCGCCCTAATGACAGCGCTGAAACTTTTCACCCATTTAAAAACTATTACCGGAAGGCGAGCCAGCCGAACATTGATTGATCGATCGATCATCCACGGTGATGGGATGTTAATTAATAAATTATGCATGTGTTTCACGCGCACATCCGCCAGTATTTTTCTATTAGTGCATCAGGTGAAGTAATTCCCACCAAGTTGCGCGATTACCGCCGCCGGCACGACACCTAATGGCCTACATTTTTTATACGCAGTAATGGGTTGTAAAAAATGGCTCGTTCAGACCTCATATTCCTTCAAAACAATATACCAACCTCGGCTTTGCTATTACTTCACATCCAGTATTCAGACAATTTAAAAACTGCGTATTTCTTTGAAAATATTAGAAGCTAAAAAAAATTAAACGTGGTTTTCATATATCCATAAAGTTGTGTTTGTATCAGGTACAGTTTTAGTTGAACTGAAAAAGTCAGAGCGACTTGCAAGTGAAATTACGGGTTATTTTTCATTTTAATAATTGACGCACAACCGAATAAAATTTAAAAAAATTGGTACCTACGAGTATATTTAAAATCCCCAGACATTTTTATTTCTAAAATTTTTTATACGAAAATGCATCATTTTTAAGAAATTTTTTTGTTTTTGTTTGGAAGAAAATAACTGTTCCCAACAAGTATCAACCATTATTATTTTGAGTGTTTGTAAAAATTTTAAATATCACAGGATATTTAAGTAATAGCAGTTCGTAAAAAATTTTTTTTTCGAAATGTTAGTTAATTGCTTTTCAGTTACAGCTCATCAAAGTTCTGTTTTTTATTATTATTTCTTGTTTAATTTAATTGTTACCAGTCACATATTTGTTAATCTGATGAACTTTTATTAGGTGCCACTAGAGGGCAATTTATCTACAGCCGAAAATAAATTTTTGCCATAACTTTTTGTCTTACTGACTATTGCTCACTAAATTAACCATTTGGCAGTAAATCGAACCTAAATATTATTATTATGCTTTAATTAACGTCAAATCAAACATTTTTCCTATTAACTCAATTTTGAATACAACACTATTCGTAATAAATTTTATCAATACATTTTTAATTAAAAAATGCCTAAATTTCTCAGCTATGGAATATCGTAATATGCTGTGTTGGTTCGACGAGATTATATGGGTAGTTATCCAAACAGTTACGAAGTTCGCGGACACGGTCTGTGGGATCATGGGATAAAGTCACAAAAAATGTCTCTATCATTTTTCAGTCAGACCGATGTTTTTCGAGATATGGCAGTTTTAAATATCCAAAAATAATAAAACTTTTCAATTTTTAATCATTTGATAAACAATTATGACAAGTGAATTGTTCAAAATTTCCACTGTCTGCTGCTAAACATGCTTCAGCACGTTGTGGTTACCTAAATAATACTTTCCCTGGACATTAGCTTGGCAGAGGCGGTCCATTTGTTTGGCCACCTCGTTCTTCAGACCTAACGCCATGTGATTTTTTCTTTTGTGGCTTCGTAAAGACGTTGGTATATAGAACACCAGTGGAAAATTGAATGAACTGCAGAACCGCCTATTTCAATCAATACAGCAAATAACACCAGATATGATACGCAACTCCAGCACAAAGTGCTGAAGCATGCTTAACAGCAGACGGTGGAAATTTTGAACAATTGTTGTAACTTGTTGTAACTTGTAATCTGTTGTAACTTGTTGTAACTTGTTATAATTTGTTGTAACTTGTTAGTCATAATTGTTTATCTAATGATTGAAAATTGAAATTTATAAATCTAAATATTTTTATTATTTTTGGATATTTGATACCTCGTAAAATACTGGTACGATTGAAAAATCATAAAGACACTTTTTTATCACCTTATCTATTTCTAATTCTAAAACATTATTTATCCACGTTCACAGTAGACTTGGCTAATGTGGAACTTCCAAAACTGCTAACGGAAATAGAGGAAGACCCAGAAATATTAGGATTGTGAAGCAGGAAGAAAGATTTCTTAACATAATTGAAGAAAATCCAGGCACAAGTTCTACAAAAATTGATATTGGGACATGCTACTGCTCAGTGAATACTTCGCGAGGAGCCATTCGTTTCATTTTATGTCCAAAAAGTGCAGTCTCTTTACGAAGCTGATCGATCAAGGCGATTGGAAAAATATACATCTTAGAAAAATGTCAGCACAGCAACCAAATGATTTACCTCATATTGTTTACTGATGAAGCAGGAATTATTCGTGAAGGAATTACAAATTTACATAATACGCATACATATTATGAAAATCCACACACTACTATTGAGACGAAGCATCAGTTTAGGTTTTCTATTAATGGGTTGAGATAATAGGAAATTATTGTCTCTCATGGTTCAGTAACTGGCAAGATAAGTATATATTACATTTTCTCAAAATCAACTTCCTCTTTGTCGAGAAGATGTTCCTCGGAACATGGCAATAAATATGTGGATGTTTAAAAACAGCGCATCGCCATACTTGTGTGTGTAGTTGTTCGCGAACATCTGAATATTTGCTTATCTATGGATGAAAACGGACCCTTGATGTAGACATCTCGATCCCTAGATTTAAATCCTATGGATTTCTTCCTCTAGGACCTTTTAAAACCAATCGATGACATTGAATATTCCCTTGTAACAATAATACGGGAATACCAAACCATTAGGGAGATAGCCTTAAGAAATGTATTGAAGAAAATAAAAACCGTTTTTTAGTATTTGTTAATGTTGTGTGTTATTTAATAATTATTTAGTAGTTTCTCTTAAAAATTATAATTTTGATTCGATTTACTGTCAAATGGTTAGATTTGTCGACTTAAATGCTATTTCTTTTAACCCTATTATTTTCCTTTTAATTTTTAAAGCATGTTCGCAATTTTTTATTTTAATCTCACAAATTCTAGCTTTATTATGTAATCCTTGTGTTCGTCTATCTTAATATTCATAGGTCCAAAGGTTTCTTCAACACAATATTTATTGCATTCACAAGATATTCTTATAAATGCAATTTTTTTTAATATATTTTCTTGTATTAACAAAAAATGAATAACTGAAGAAAATAGGTAATAAATTTATCTTTGAAACATACATTTATAGCATGCTTTTGAAAGTAATCGGCATCATATTGGAGAAAACTCTCGTCCTACAAATTAGACCAATTGAGGAGAAGACGAAAGCGAGAATTCGAAAGATCAAAAATTTGGGAGCACCTTACGAAAACGATATGAAGTTTAACCAACATTTTGGAGAAAGAAAATAATGCCGTTAAAATAAATTTAAAAGATACCATATTTATAAACGGTGAAAGGCGTGTGTCAAATTACTCTGGAAATTTGGAACTTGTTGGCCAGAAACATTAAAATAAGCAAGTAATAGTAGAACAGTCACGATATGATACCTCTAGTTATGGAAACAGCTAATCAACTAAATTTTATTTAAAAAAGAAATGGTTTGACAACCAAAAAAGATTAATTTTTCGAAGCGGAACTATAATTGAAATGCGTGATATAGTGATGGGTATCTTTTATTTGTCTGCTTTTTCATTGCGATAATTTCTTTAGATAGATAGATTATTAATAATAACTCTTGACCGATCTTTTGCTGCAAGGATTTCATCGTTTTTCAAAAATTTTCGCAGGTGGCAACACGGAGAATAATTACATAGTATCTGTAATAATATTTGTGCCATATTTAGCAAAACTTGGCAATGTTAATAGAAATTAATGAGACACCAGGGCTAAGAACTAGATAAAACTTTATTTATTTTGCTAATGACAATATCGTAACCGTAAACCCCCATTACAGTACCAAGCATATAAACGGAGTCACCCACCAAAGACAAATAAAAAATAATTCCCCGTAAAATGCAAACATCATGAAGCGTTGTTGTTAATCCTGCATTAATTCCACTGTATTTATCTCCGTAAATAATAAATGCGACAGAACTGAAGCAATCGTCACGAATCCCGCGGTAATGGGGGCAAAAAACGTTTCAGAGATATATTTACCCGATAAGCCCTGTAATAACTAATTAACCGTTGTGTGGAAGTTTATCATGACGCAGTGAATTATTTATTTGTCCTATAGGAGAAGCATAATCCTGACGGACGTTTCAAGCGTGTACTTACTTATCTACGTCGGTGTAGGCTTGATCGCACACGCAACACCGGATTTCGGACTCGTCTTCTTCGTCTTCTTCGCGGTCGTCAAGTGTTCCGCTATGCTGCGATGCTGAAAAGAGAAACATTTTCGTGATTACTAACGCAGCAACTACACATTTTCTCAGATGTTTTCTTATATTTCTACATTATTTTTTAACATACCAAATATTAAATACAAAAATCCCGTGAATTTTCCAGTGAAGTGAAGTGCCAGAATTTCGTAAAAATTCAGGCAAAATAAATCCACTTTAGTTTTGTAAACAGAATACTCTATACATTTTTTCATATGTTTTCGGATATATTTTTCAGGATTATTGCGATTACTGGTTTTATTTTATTAATTCTTACATATTCCGATATTGCAGTTGACTCTACAATATTTTTTTTAGTTTTATTTAGTAAATATTTAAATTTTAAATGATGAATTGTATTCGAATCACCTTTCAATTAAATCAAATGCTATCATCAATAAGTAATTAATAGTGGTGTGCCACAGGGATTTGCTTTAAACCTCTTATGGAAGAGCAGGTTATAACTAAATGTTTTCATTTTTGGTATATTTTCAATGCCATTTTCTGTTGCTTTTGTGAATGGATCGATATATATATATATATATCTAATGTGGAACTT